GGAAGGAAGGAAGGAAGGAAGGAAGGAAGGAAGGAAGGAAGGAAGGAAGGAAGGAAACCAAGTCTCACTAACTACCAATGCCCACACCTGAGCAAACAGCCAGGTTTTAAGTGCTTTCTGAAAGGCCAGCAGGGTACAGGCCAGTCTAATTTCAGGTGGCAAGGTGTTTCAAAGAACAGGCACTACAATTGTAAAGGTACACCTCCTGCCCCCCCAATGACATTTTTTAATTGACAGGACACAAAGTATGTCCCTGCAAGCAGATTTAATAGTGCAGGTAGAAACAACTGTTGATTCTGGTCCTTCAAATATCCTGGCCTCATGCCCTGAACGGCTTTTTAGGTAACAACCAACACTTTGTTTACTAGAAGCTGGTGCAGGCTGCAGAGCAAAGATGTAATGTGTGAAATAAGGAATGCCCAAAATTGCCTGCACTCCCGCATTTTTGAACAATTGTAGTTTCCCACTGCTCTTCAGGGGCAGCCCTGTACAGAGTGTATTGCGTAAGTCCTTATGGGAGATGACCAAAGCATGAGTAACCATGCTCTGTGCTCTGGAGGCTGACTAAAAGCAAGGAACAACTGCTATAAGCACTGAATAATGAAAAGAGACACAGTATAAATAAAGGTGTCAGTTTCCCCCCTCCCCCAACTTGTCTATCTTCTTGAAACAGGGGAATAAGAAAAGTTGTTGGGGGTATAATGTGGCACAGGCAGGAAGTGAAAACGAGGATGAAATATTTGAGTAGACTTGTCCACAAAACTTTTAGTACAAATTTGTTCCAAGAGAAAGTCTGAATCTCTGTTTAGGCTGAACCTGGTCAACTTTTGTAAATAGTGGCTTCCAAATAAAGCCAGTAGATAGGTAAACTGCAGCTCTGAGTACAGTGGCAGGTAGGCCATAATATGACAGAACAAGTCTTGTTGCCTACAAGAAGGAATAAATCATTAATTAGTTTCAGCTTTTAATATCATCTCAGAATAAACACTTAAATGTGCATCAAAAACAGTCACACTGAAGATTTCTTACCTGGGTCCATTACTGTCCCTTCTCTTAGCGGAAGAGTTATTCTGCTCTGTTTTTGCACTCCTGTCCACGTGCTGATTGGCATTTCTCTCCACAATCTCACCTTCATCAAGTGCTCTGTGAAGACGGTAGTTTATCATTTTCAGAACAATGAAGAGAGCTGCTATCACTGGGCAGTAGATTGCTACTATCACCATGGAAGAAGGAAGGGCCTTTTGAAAAAGATAAAAGAATTGGATACTAAGGAGGGAACTAGGAAAATTTTCAAACATTTAGTTATACACACTTTGGATCTAATTATGATTATTCACTTATCATGTACAACATATTTAAGCAATATTTAATAATACAGTAACAATATAAATACACATTATAGGTGAAAAAAAATGACTTTTCAACCTGTGCCTAAGTTCTGAGTTTATGTTTTATTTGGAAGTAAGCATTAATCAATAAGAACTCTTCTTCAAAATGATACTGAGATGGAAAATGAAAGGAAAAAGGGCGGTACTAATATGTCACTTCAGTTACCCTTATACAGGCTTGACAAATGCAGCTGTCCAGTCACAGAGATGAAATGAGGTGATAACCAAATAGATAAAATGTAGTGATCATCTAAGCATCTGTGTCATGCTGGTTATGGAACTGACCAGAAACGAGGTGACCCTGGGTCCTAATACTAAACGAACACAATAGTTATTATTACTGAATAGAAACAGAGCACAATGCCATCAAATATTATTTATATTTAAATAGAACACTATTAAGAAAGGCTAACATATTCATGACTGACGTCAAGCAGGACATTTCTCAAAAATGAGAGATTCATTTAAAAATTGAAAGGGAAAGTCAAGAAAGTAAAAGCTTTTCAAAATGCTTTGAGATACTGAAAACCACAGTTCAACTAAAGGATATGCAGCAAGGAAGTAAAGGAACTGCAAAGTCCAAAACACTGGCAGCATAGTTATTAAGTAGTAACAAGGCAATTATTACAGTAGACATCTCCCAACCTGATGTTCAACATCCACCATACCCAGTCTATATGGCTTCTACATGAACATATTCGTGAAGCCTAAATGAAAAAAGGGAAAGCGTGCTTTATGCAGAACTATTATTATCTAATAATACAGCAAAAATACAGCAAAAGGATTTTGAGGTACATATTTGCTAATAATTTTAACACTAAAATAAAAAGTATTTTAATACATCTGAGGCAGAAATCAGTCAGGGAAGCAGCTGAACTGTTGGAGCACCAAAGGAGAATAAGGAGGTTAAAAAGCAGCCTTGTGTTTGTCATGACTACAGAACATTTAGGATAGTTACCTATGTCTAAACCCAGACTAACAGATAAAGCAACAGTCACCAACTTGAATAGTTTTAAAAGATAACCAGACAAATTCACCAAGAATAAGACCACCAGTTAGAACTAGTCACAATCATTGTATATTACTTCCAGTATAAGTTATCTCTAGATATCAAATGTTAGGAACCATGAAGAAAATGCTGTCCTGCTTGGGGGATTTCCACAGACCACACCTGCAAATATCTCATTTTGGGGGAAGATGTTTGAGAATTTGGCATGGATAAAAGCAATTATCTAAACCAGGCCTGTAGAACACGCGGCCCACCAAGCAGTTTCCTGTGGCCCGCCAAGCAGCCTTGTATGACCTGCTGGCATTTTTTAAAAACTCAATAAACCCATCCCCACCAAACTTTGCTGCAATCAGGAAGGATCGACTGCTGCCATGAAGGACACGCTGCCCAGTGCCTACAATATCGCCCCAAATCTCCATCTCCATCGCTGCCACCATGCCACTAGCCAATAAACAGCTAATCAGCATGCCAGCTATTCGTTTGCACCCCACAATTATTTTTAATTTATCAATGTGGCCCTTTTCCCTCTAAAAGTTAGTCAGGACTGATCTAAATAATCAACTTTTGGAACTGAAACTGCCTTGGATAACCTATGTTAGTTAAGGGCAGAGTTTATTCTATTGGTTAGTCAAATGGGAAGTATAGGTCAGTTGATTCTCTTTAATCTCTTGGATGTTTTTTGATAACATTTAATACTTTATCTTGCTGCACTGCTTTTGTGAGTTGACGTTAAGGGCTATGATAATGTGCAGGGTAGGCTACCTGGTAACCCTATGTATTTTGAACTACAATTCACTAAGGCTCCAAATAGCAAAAAAATTGGGAACCGTCAAAGAATTTTAAGACTTTGATCAAAAACAGAGGGTACCCAGTCCATTATACAAATCTTCTGTTTGTATCTGCAGGTTCAGTATTTTAAGCATCAGGATCAGATGATTTGTATTCAAAAACTTCCAGTCATGCAGAATTCAACAGTTAATTCTATGACTATTTCATCTAGATCAGATATGTCAAGCACATGGTCAATGGGCTGCATGTGGCCCACAACACTCCCAAGTGTGGACTGAACCAGATTAAAATGCAATTGGGATAAATTTAATTTTTATTCTAATAAAAATACAATAAAACATAGATATATTTTAAAACTAAATACTAATAAATTTAGTCATCAACCATCATAAAATTCCAGACTCATGAGAAGTCCTGCATAAGTTCACCACGTTGGCTTAACCACAGCAATGAGGACTGCTTGGCGCTGCCATGGTGCAGACTGAACAGAATCACATTGTGTCAGCCTTGTGAGGTAATCCAGACAAGAAGCACACCCAGAAGTACTAGCTCTACTTTATTGTAATGTTACATTAACAGAATCTTCCAAGTCTGAAAGTCAGTGCTCCCTCATCACCTTCACAGTCCAAGAAAGTAGGCAAGGCCCCTTCTGAGATGTTGGCCACACCCACATTCCTTCTGCAGACTAAGCTGCCTCTTATCTGACTGTTGCCTTGGATGCGGCTCTTCTCCCTGTCTCCCAAGGTCATTCCCACATACCATTACACCTTGTGCTAGGAGTTTCCTCTCAGTCTGCACTGCAGCAGCACCAAGCAACCTTGCTGCTGCAATTAAGCTGAGGCAGCAAGCTTATGGCTCTTCTCTGGACAGCAGGCAGGCAGCCTTGCACTGGTAGCTATCCTGCTCTGGATCCCAGAGCCTCTAGCACATGAAGGAGCGCCTCCCTCTAAAACAGATTGAATTAATTTCTCTCCTCCCTCCAAAAAAAAGTTTAATTAATATATGTTTGAGTTTCGGGCTGCCCAAGGTCCATGACTGTTAACTTTATAAAAAGTTCAACTTTAAAATTAATAATAATTAAAAATTTTAAATAAGTTCAGAATAAATCTAGAGAAGGAGGAAAGAATGGGAAAAGGAAGGCAGGCAGGCAGGCAGGTGATCTAAATGCTTTTTGTATAATGATTTTGATAAAATCATTTCTGGCAAAAGATGGCAAGTTTCTAGTAAAGAATATTAAATTAATTTTGAATCTTTTGTAGTGATATGTTTTATAATAATTTTGAATCTATTTGATATTAAAACGTAAAATTGTATGTTTTTTATCTATAACTATCTGATTTATATGCACATATGTATTAAGCATATATAAATACTGAAAAGAAATTGTCCAATTCATAATACCTCTTTTTTATTAGTTATATCTAGTTCCTATCTGATTTTAATATTTTGATGCATTAATAAACATACATAAACATGTATGGTTTTCTAAGTCAGTATGTGGCCTGCAGGGATCCTTATGTATGGTTTAGTGGCCCCTGTTTCTATTTGAGTTTGACACCACTGATCTAGATGGAGCCATGTCACACCAATTCTTAGGGAATCTGTTTGTTTTCTGGGACCCCAGAGCATGTTATAACTTGTAGACCATGAAATCAAGACCAGAAAAATCTTTATTGCAGCTTGTCTCGATTATCCATGGCATTTCCACATCCAATTTTCTTCCCCATTGCTGCCATCTGTACTGCTTCCAAAATTGCTACAGCTGGATATGCCACAACTGTCCTGCCCAAAGGACTGTATCTTCACTCTCTGGACCCCCACCCATTCTTGAGTGAAAAAAACACATTTTTACCTGCAGCTATTACTGTGTGAATGAATGTGTTATGTGTGTGAATGGGCAAATATCTTGTCATGAGTCTACCTAAGAGAAGGATTCCATGTAGTCAATCAGAAAAGAGTTTCTATCTGCCTTAAAGGCAAATAGAGGATAAAGATATTTATGTGCACATAAAAGCACAGGTTATGAAATACTCATGAACTCTCTGAACAAACCTTGAGCACATATTTAGAATTTTGGCCTTCTCCCTTTCTTTGGCCAATAGAATGGTACTTAATTTTCATCCTGTCAGCCAATCTCAAGATTCAGACAAGCTTGTTTTTAGTAATGGCTGTTAATAGCCTGGCTGGTTCCAACCTGTATTAGCTTTGAAGAGTAGAAACTGTGGTAAATTAAATCACTGAGTACTTTAAGCTCTTATTTTAAAAATAGGACCTACTTGGCAAAGAAGTATGCATTAGATATCAGTGAACTTTTGAATTATCTGTATTTGCAATCTTCATTTAGTGCCAATTAATAATGAAAAGGTTATTTAAAGAACTATTTTGAGAAATTATTGTGTTTTACAAGCAGTATGTTTTATATCATATATAATCTCCAACACTGTTCTACTTAAACAGCAATTACTGTTCTTGATTTGTTAGCTTTTTCTTCATCATTCTTGACCTCTAACATATAAAGCATGGCTTTTTTACCTTTTACATGTTACATTGTCACATAACAATTTAGATAAAATATTTTTTCAGTTGCAAACTTAATATGCTGCAGTATTTGCTAATGGGCAAATAAATGGACAAGTGGAAAAAATGGAGCATCAATATCTTTGCTTTAAAAACCAGTAAGGAAAACCTTATTGATGTTTCTATTTATATTACTTCCATACATGCTGTGGGAATCAGAACTTTGAAGAAAAAGAGTAATTCTGATCATTCTATTAAGTATACATTATTATACTGAATTGTTTCTAGAATTTAAATGAAGGCCATCATTCTGTTTCACAGAGGATAGCTTTGATTAAAAACTAGTATTTTAAAATTTGCAATTAATCATTTAACCTCTTGGTCATACTAATCATTAAATGTACTGAACTCTAGAATTCACTGCATCATAACACTTTTTCTGGAAGAGTGACACCTTGTAATTTCTTCTTGAAGAATTTGCACCTTGTCAAACTGGCTCAAGCTTACATGCTCACCCTGAAGCACCATGGTAATG